ATCGAGTCTATCGACGCTCTTGGGGAGGCCATCAACGAATACAAGGGTGGTGAGTCAGCTCAGGGCGTGCCCTCCTCCTCCCCGCCTTGGGGACCGGGCTGTGGTGTCTTTCGGCTGGGCGCCCTCCTCTCAGGTTCTGATCCCCCTCTTCCTCCTTCCTCCCTGCCCTCCATTCTCGCCACCTTTCTTCAAAGCTGTGATCGTCGTCAGCCATGATGCCCGACTTATCACAGAAACCAGCTGCCAGCTGTGGGTGGTGGAGGAGCAGAGTGTTAGCCAGATCGACGGCGACTTCGAAGACTACAAGCGGGAGGTGTTAGAGGCCCTGGGGGAAGTCATGGTCAGCCGGCCCCGAGAGTGAGCTTCCCTTCCTGGACATCCCCTCGTCTCTTCTCCACTCGGAAGTCTGCTCTGGTCTGCAGCTGGCGCAGTAGCTACTCGGGTACATGAAGGCGGAGTGTGGTCTTGATGTGACCAGGATACCGCTTCGATTGCTTCCTCTTCTCTGAAAGACTTGTCTGATTGCTCTCTTCAGATAACTGAGCTGGCCTTGTTCTTGAAATCCCTCCGTACGAGCAGAGGTGACCTTTGTTATGGGGTTCCATCCAGCCAAGCTCATGTGGCCAGTTGTCTGAGACTCTGTCCTCAGAAGCCTGCGTCTGGTCCGCCTCAAAGCTTCAGGCCCAGCTGCTGCCCTGTTCTGTGAGTGGTGCTGCTTTTTTTGGTGGATTTGATGCTGACCTAACTGATACAAACAGCTGGTGCAGCTCAGAGCTGGAGGAGAGTTCTGAGGCCTGTGCTGTCACCCAGGATTTGGTGCCTGCAGTCTCTAGTCTGGTTGGGGACTTGGGGGCAGGAAAGGAATGCTGCTGAACTCGAATCACCCTTTACAAGGGGAAGAAATAAAGGAAAGGAGTTGTGCCGCCCTGTCACTGTTTGGAGATTTCATGGGAGCTGGAACTGTTCTTACTCTTGATTTGCTTTGTTCAGTTTACTAGCAGCAGTTAGTATCCTCTCTTCCCCACCAGTACAGGTGGGTCTAACTTGCAGTCTTACCGCACTTTAGGTGGTGCTCACTGTTTGAGGAGCCTCCCTCCCTTCCCACAGCCCTTCCGACAAGGACAAAGGAAAGTGAGTCATCCCTTCCAACTAGGACACTCGGGTTTCTCACTATCCAAGCTCCGCCCTGGTATCAGGGACCAGAGACCTGATCCTCCCAAAAGTTACTAAATCAGCCAACATGTACAGCACCGTGCAGTATGCAAGAAGGGAAGAGACAAGGTCTGCCTTCATGAATAGTCTAGATAGAGAAGACTTAGAAAGTAAGACATGAGTGTATAGCATGATACAATTAATTGCCAAATGTGTGGTGCTCTAGATTCTAAGTTGCCTTGAGCTCATAGAAGAGAAAGATTATCTAGAACTTGATTATTTGGCGGGATCACTTGAGAGTGGACCTTGAAAAAGTAAGGATTTTTTTTTTAAATTATTTCTTTATTGTTGGCTGCGTTGGGTCTTTGTTGCTGCGCGCAGGCTTTCACTAGTTGCAGCGAGTGGGGCTACTCTTCGTTGTGGTGTGGAGGCTTCTCATTGCAGTGGCTTGTCTTGTTGCGGAGCACGGGCTCTAGGTGTGCAGGCTTCAGTAGTTGTGGCACATGGGCTCAGTAGTTGTGGCTCATGGGCTCTAGAGCGCAGGCTCAGTAGTTGTAGCACATGGGCTTAGGTGCTCCACAGCATGTGGGATCTTCCCAGACCAGGGCTTGAACTGGTGTCCCCTGCATTGGCAGGTAGATTCTTAACAACTGCACCACTAGGGAAGTCCCAGGATTTTAGTAGTGAGGAACAGGGAGCCATTTTTGGAACATAGGAAAAGAGCAGGTCTAAGGCAGATCTGAAGAAGAAAGAACTATTTGAGAGTTAATGAGAGAACATGGCTGGTGTGGCCACTTTTCTTATTAGAGTTAGATTGGAGAGATGGGTTTGGAAAGTAAAACCCAAGTGGCAAGTGGTTGGTTGGTGGTGATTTCAGGTAGTGATGGGCAAGGTGGACTTTAGAGACTTATGGGATGGGCCCCAGAACTTTCGCTGTGGGGATGAGCTAATAAATCCTGAATTAGGATACGAGAAAGAGGGATACAAGGCAAGGACAGATGGAAAGAGCCAGGTGTGGGAGTTGGAGAGAGGATGGTCAGATGTGTGCAGTTCCGGGGGAAATATGAAGAACCATTTAAGATTTACTAAGTTGGGGTGTCTAATTTGGGGAAGTTATTTTCTGGCCAAATAATACTGGACCTCAATTATGAGTTTTACGCCAAAAGTGAAGGTTTGGTGTGAAGATGATTGAAGAGGTGCCGTTGGGTACATCTCCAAGTTAGATATAAAGGAACACCCCTTATGGAATTTGAGGAAAAAGCATCAGGGTCTTGTGCCAAGTAAGATGTTACATGTGAAAGTATTCTCCACAATTCCACAAAGTCGGTGTGTCGTAGAACAGTGGGAGCAGGCTTCAAGTCCACTACTAGTGGGGTGACCTTGGACTTAGCCTCTTGGTACCTGTTTCCTCATTTGTAACATGAAGGTGATAAAAAGCCCCTACCTCACAAGGTTATTAAGGGATTAAGTAATTATTTGTGAAGGGCTTTAATTTTTTTTTTTCTTTTTTTTTACTTTTGTTACATGTATTTCATGTACACTCTACACTTTGCACTTAAATTTTTCAGTTCAGTAGTCTAGATGAGTTGTTACACAAAATAGTTGGGAATGTTGTTTATAAAATGAACACCAACATTTTGCATTTTAAGTGTTTGGTCGCTGATTTCACTACAGATACTTCAGATGCTCCAAAATAACTTCCATCCATGGGCACAAGTTTTCTTTCTTTCCTCAATATATATACTATAATAATGCACTTTAAATATGGGCAAAAGAATTACACTTCTTCAAAAAGAGCAGCATAGAAATGGAACTCGAAAGGAAAAAATTACACATTTACACAGTAGTACAGTATGTGGGTAACCCAAAGTCTGAAAAATGGAATTTAGTTAACAATTAAATATTTTTATTCATGACCTTTGTCACCTACAAATCATGCACTAATATGGTTCATAATGAGCACTGTAGAAGTGTTATAAAAAATTACTCTTCTCCACACCTTCCTAATGAGGAAACAGACTCAGAGACGCTGACGTGCCCATGGTCACCCAGCCTGGAAAGGAGAATTCCTGGGATGGGGGCCCTAGTTTTCTGATGCCAGTGCCCTGGGCGTCCTCCCTCATCTGTAGAATATGGACAGGATGACCAAAGGATGAGTCCTTGAGGGGCATGAGAGCCAAGGCAGGACTGTGTTTTAGGAACATGTGAGAGACGTTTTAGGGAAGTCTGTCAGCACTACAGTGGGAAAGATGAAAGTCGGGAAGGAGCCCTGTGGCCATACACAACTCAGACGAGGCCTGGGAATGTGCGAAGTTGCCCTTGTGCTGCTGGTGCTGGTGCAGCAGCTGAGACGCTTGAACTGGTGGCTGCTCTAGGGCAGTGGTTCTCAGCATGTCCTAGACCAGCGGCAGCGGCATCACCTGGAGTTTGTTAGAAGTGCAAAGGTAGGAACTCAGTGGTGCCTTTGGAGCATGTCACAGGAAACATGGTGTTAGGAGAGAAAGGGTAGGGGTCACCTTTAGCTTGAGTGATTAGGGAAGACTTCTCAGAGGAAGTGACATTAATTAAAACCAAGGCCTGTAGGTGGAGAAGGAACCAACTAGATGGGTGAGAAAGAGCCTTCAGCAAGGCACCAGAATGTGCAGAGGCTCAGAAGCTGGAAAGAGCTTGACTTGGTCAGGACCATGGCTTGAGCTTAGAGCTTGAGCAGCGGCCAGGACGTGGGGTCTTATAAACGTTGATAGGGAGTTGGGATATGGTTCTAGGAGTAATAGAAGGCAGTGTGTACGCAGGAGTGTGAATTGACCTGGTTTTCATTTTCACAAAATTGCTCTGGCTGCTGGGTGAAGAGTGGTGGGTGGGAGGGAGACAGGAAGAGGAGATGCCAGGAGAGGCGAGCAGGAGGAGATATCCTCCTTCCTCTAAGAAAGGAAAGGAGATAATGTAGACTCATATTTTCAGGTGAAGAGAAGGGGAAATGGTGCTCACGTAGGATGGGGCTCACTTTCTCAGGAGATTTGGTGCCAGAGAAGGGAGAGGAGTTAGGAGTTGCCAGGCAGCAGTGAATGTTGAGTCAGTGCTAGTAATTTGTACTGGGCCAAGATGGTAGGATTTTGTGGGTTTTCAACATTATATTTACTGCCTGGGAGCAGGAATGGGAGAAGTAGAATAATGGTGATTCAGAATTGGAGACTGCACTGGTGTGCTTGGGGAAGGGTTGACAGAAAAGTCAAAAGTTAATAGGTTATTTAGGGATGGGGGTGGAAATGGAATAAGAAAGGAAGAACAGACCAACTGAAGCAGTCGGGAGAGGTGTGCCTGCAAGGCTTGGTAAAGAAACAGAAATGGGTCAGTGGGTACAGTGAAATGGATGAGATGCCCAAACTGTCTCCCTGCCTAAAAAAAAAAGAAAATCTAAGTAACAGGTAATTTGGATTTTCATGGAGAATTTGAAAGAAAATGGCTGAACTCATTTTTAAATTAAAATAGAAAAAATTAAGCTCTCTGTAAAGATTCTTGTGGCCTGTTGCAGGAGGTGGAGGGAAGAAGGTGAGAAGCAGCAGTAGATGGAACCAGAAAGAAAGAAACACAAGTTAAAGAATTTTTTTTTTTTTAATTATTTTTGGCTGCGTCGGGTCTTCGTTGCTGCGCTGGGCTTTCTCTAGTTGCGGCGAGCGGGGGCTACTCTTTGTTGCAGTGTGCAGGCTTCTCATTGTGGTGGCTTCTCACTGCAGAGCCCAGGCTCTAGGCGCACAGGCTCAGTAGTTGTGGCTCGCGGGCTCTAGAGCGCAGGCTCCATAGTTGTGGTGCACGGGCTTAGTTGCTCCGCGACATGTGGGATCCTCCCAGACCAGGGCTCGAACCCGTGTCCCCTGCATTGGCAGGCGGATTCTTAACCACTGCGCCACCAGGGAAGCCCAAGTTAAAGAATTTTTAACTTTTTTTCACTTGAGTTGTGTACTTCATTGGTATTTCACCTCTTAGGTTGGCCCTTAGATTACATCTTTTCAGGACCTCTCCGAGTGTGAAGAGCAACAGTAGGCTGACTGAACACCCTCTTTCCAGAGAAGGGGCAAAAGGGAAGAAAAATTAGCACCACTGGCCTAAGTGTAGGTGGGGCTTGTGAGGTTTAGGAAGTTGCTCCCCTCTTGTGGCCAATCCTGGAAACAACAGCCAAGAAACGTGTTCTAGGGCCCTGTCTTTTCATTGTTTTCCAGATCAGCAGTCAGCAACACCTGGGAACTTGTTAGATATGCAAAATCTCGGAATTCATCCCAGACCTGCTGAATCAGAAAATTTGCTGAACCCCACCCCCAATCTCTTTTAAAAGCCCTTCAGATGATTCTGAGGAACGCTGCAACTTTGGTAACCACCATTCTCAACCTATACCCCAATATCCCTACCTCCCTTTCCCTCTCCCCCCAAAATGTAATCTCCTAATTTCTGATTACAAGAATAGCAGAGCTTCCTATTTAAAGTTAATCCTCTCCCTCCATGTTCTGGACTCTAAAACCTCCTGTCTCCCCAGGAATCTTTCTTTTTTTTAAATATACTTTTTTTGGCCATGCCGCACAGTTTGCAGGATCTTAGTTCCCCAACTAAGGATCAAATCCAGGCCCCAGCAGTGAAAGTGCTGAGTCCTAACCACTGGATCACCAGGGAATTCCCACCGCTGGGAATCTTGTTCCATCAACTAGGCCCTCAATACCTGTCCTTAAGGTCTAAAAATTATCTTGATCCTACATCTTCTAGCAGCAGGCCTATTTCTCTCTACCCTGCAGAGCCCCTTTTTGGGGGGACAAGCAGGATCCACCTATTTTTCCTTCCTTCCCCAGAAACTGCTCTTGGATTTTTCCTTTTTCAGCCACTCTTCCCTACTCCTCCCTTCTGCCCACCCTCACATAAATCCCTTCCCTAAGCTACTCCACAGGGCTGTTAGGATGGATGTGCCTGCACCTTCTGCAGCTTGGGTGATCTGTGAGCTCTGCCTTCCCGAGCTATGGCGTTTTATATTCAAAGTACTCCTTCACCAGTATTTCACTTAACACCAACGAAGGGCTGAAAGCCACATTCCACAAAGGTTTGTATTAATGAACTTTCAACAGCTGATAATGGCTTTTTTCTTTTTAAACAGTCCAGGAACACCAGGGGTTAAATACTTCTCTTTCCACTGTTTATTATTAATGTACAAAATATACAAAACCAAAAGAAAAAAGAAAATACTCATCCTCAAATCCATTGTGGCTCTAACCCAAGACCCTGCACAAAACCCAACCAATCCACTGTTTTCATAGAAAACAACTGATGCTGAGACAGGTGAAGGAGAGGGCTGGGAGAGGGCAGGTCATCTCATCGAATCCACCCAGGAAGGCACCTGGTGGGGATTCAGAGGTGGCTGACTGACAGGGCAAGGGAGGGAGCTGGAGGCCTCACACCCACAAGGTTCCAGGTGGGGGCCAGGAGCACGCTAACTCCCAGAGGCAGTGCGTGTAGTGTGACTGGCATGCCCAGCACGCCGGGCTTCAGTTGATGAAAAGCTGGTCTCACTGAAGTGTTTTAATTTCCAGAATGAGCTGCAGGCAAGGGTGGACCACCACCAATGGCCTCACCTATGCCAGCTAAAACTTTTCACCGGATGCCGATGTGGATTTGCCATCATTGAACCTAGCAGACCCATGATGCAAACTTGGGTGTTCACGGAAGATTGCAACGTCTTACTTGAGAAAGGACTCAATGTAAAGCCTGTGTCGGGAGGAGTGGGGATGATGTGTTCCAGAACTCAAATCCAGCCTGATTGAGTCCTCTCAGTGCAGTGGGATACACAATACCCCTTTACCATCTCCCCACCCCACGAGGAAGCATGAACTTGGCTGGGATGACTTCATAAGTGCAGCTGATCCCGTGTCAGAGTTCTGTGTGCATGTGGAGGACCCACAAGAGGAGAGTAGAGGTGTTCTCCAGGATAACCAGCTTTAGGTTCTCAGGCATAAAGGGTAATACTGGAGAGGCGCTTGGCATAAAGGGCAAATCTCCTCAAAAAGTGAAGCCAACTCGGTCTCCTCTTCAGCAGTCCAGGGTACAGAATGTGTCCAGTCTCTCTCCTCCCCAGACTGGAGGAAAATATGTACATCAATGCGCACCAGTGATCCGAAAACCCCCAAGAACCCAGGCAGGTGGGCACTGAGGGGGCCGGCTCCTCATCAGCTGGGGAAAGGGGAAAATGGGCCTCACAGAAGCCATAAAAGGGTGGAAGGAGCAAGGCTGCAGTCCACAGGGGTGTGGGTGGGGTGGGCAGGTGGTCCCTAGGGCAGGGGGGGCCCATTGACACCCGGGTGGTAGAAGGCACAGTTGTTCTCATAGCGGCAGTTACCCTTCATCATGAAATGTCGACAAACAGGGCGATTTGACATGTCTGTGGGAATGATGGTGGAATAGTTAGATAGGAAATGGCCAAGAGGTCAATGCCACCCTCATCCCACCCGTCCAAGGCATCCTGAGAACTGTCTTTCAGAGAGACCTAGTCTTGGGGACCTGGGGGAAGGGCTAAAGGAAGGAACTGCCATGCATGCTGGGAACGGGGTGACCTCATGTTCTGCCTGGCAGACCCGGGGTAGTGACGTTCCCCAAAAAGTTGTAATGGGACACCAAGAGCCATATGGGGGACAGGGAGCATCCTCACCTCCTCCATGGCTGTGGCCTCCATCATGCCCTCGGTGGCCTCCTCCGCCATGGCCAGGGCCATCATGGCCACGGTGCTCATGAGGGGGTGGCCCTCGATGGTCATGGCCTCGGTGACCAGGGCCATCATGAGGCCGGTGGCCGTGGGGCCCCCCATGTCCAGGGCCTTCATGGGGCCGATGTCCACCACCAGCACCCATTCCTCCACCAGGGCCTTCATGAGGACGATGGCCACTGCCACCACCCATGCCGCCGCCAGGGCCTTCGTGGGGGCGATGCCCACCGCCCATGCCACTGCCAGGGCCTTCATGGGGACGATGTCCGCTGCCACTGCTCATGCCCCCACCAGGGCCTTCATGGGGACGATGCCCACCACCTCCGACCATGCCCCCACCAGGGCCCCCTCTTCCATTTGGAGGTCCTCCTCCAGAGCGACCTCCTCTGGCCCCTCGGAATGGAGGAGGAGGAGGAGGTGGTTCACTCCCGCCTCGGCCACCACGGCCTCTATGGTATGGCCCCGGACCTGGTCCCCCACGCATCGGGCCACCCCGCATGGGGTCACCTGGGCCATCCCAGAAGGGATCACCCCCTCGGGGAGGGGGTGGGGGACCCAGGAGACGTGGACCCACTGGCCCACCAGGGCCCCCAGGGCCTCCATGGGGACCTTTTGGGGGGAAAAAAAAGGGAGAGAGACAGTATCAGCTACCTGTTGCACCCAGGGACCGCCATCTCCCAACCCAAACCAACCCCCGGCTTTGGTCAATCCTGTACAGTTACCAGGCCGAAATCAAGCAGACAAACCCATTCTAACCTCTCACTCACCACCTACCTGGCATAGGTCCGCCAGGTCCAGGGGGGAAGTGCTGCATGCCCTTGGGGCCCCCAGGGCCTCCCGGTGGGAAACCATTGGCTATGGGACCAGGCCCTAAGAGTCCATGAGGCACTGTTAATGAAAAAGGAGTGAAGCAGTCAGCAAGACGATTCTAGAAGAGCGGCATGACGTCTTCCCGCTTAGGTGTGCCCAGCTGACCCCCTCAGACCAACCTGGCAGAGCACTGCCCTCTGTCCAGTCTTCCCCTCCCATGTCTTGCCGCCTAGTGGCAATACCCCTGCTCCCCCAATTCCACTGCAGGCCTCCTCGCCCAGGCCCCGGGGCTGGCCCTGAGGATTACCCAGCATCTGCTTGATCTTGTCTGAATAGTCTGGTTGCTTCAGCAGTTCCTCTGAGGGATGACTGTTAGGGCTACCCTGTGAGGCAAGGTCATTAAGGGACAAGGTCAACAGAGAATAAGGGTAACACCCGGCAGAGAAGGGAGAGCCCGAGGAGAAAGCAAGTGGGAAGGAGAGCAGAACGGGAGTAAGGAGAAATGGAGACAGTGGGGAAGAAGAGGGAGGCTCGTACCATGATGGAGGTGAGGATCTCCTGCACATTGATGCCTCCTCCTCCAGGACCCTGGGGGCTCTTCCCGGCACCCATGCTTCCCATAAGATTGGCCAGAACAGGAGGCAACTTGGAACCGCCTGCCCCATCGGGTGAGCCACAGGTCCCCCCCGGCTCCAGGGTCTCAACATATGGGGTCTCATCCATGGAACATTCCTGAAATGACAGGACAGAACAATCAGGACCAACAAGGATAAAGAGCCAGTCTCCCACGAAAGATGCATTAATGTCAAGCACAGCCTCCATCAGCACACAACTCACCTCATCTAGGGGGATGAGTTTGGGGGGGACAGGCTCATAGGGCTCAGGATCAGGCTCGTGAGGACTGTCAGGAATGCAGCAGGCGATAGAAAAAAAAAGCGTGACAGTCAAATTATTTATTCAAGCCCTTGATTTCCTTCCTAACCCCCACCCCCCTTCTAATTACCCCAGGGCACGTTCCCCTCAAGGGCTCAATACCTCAGGAAGTGAACCCCATTCTGCTCACCTTTCCTTGTTCAGGAAGAGCTCCTGAAGGATCCCCTTCTCCCGCTCAGCCTGGATGTACCGCTCCTGGCTGTTGCTTCCAGGGGTGACAAGAGGTGAGGGCAGCACCAGGGGCCGGGGACACACCCAGGGCACCTTCTCCTCCATGTTGTCATGGCTCAGACGCCGGGCCGTCTCAAACGCGTGTCGGTCTGACAGTATCTCTCGCTTAGCTGCCTCTCCGAAGTCCTTGATCTTATTCACATTCACTATTGCCAAGGAGAAAAAAAGCAAGAGGGAAGGTAAGCCCAACCAAGTCCTTTTTAAACTCTCTATACCCCACCTACTATAGAGGAAACTGGATCTCTAACCTCGTTCAGTTTCATCCAGTTCAAAATAGAAATACTCTCTCAGCTTGCCCTCCTCAGGCCAGGTCACAGTTTTCCTCTTCCTGCCTTTCCGGGTCAGCTGGCTAGGATCTCCGGGACTCTCCACTGGCTTTGCATCCAGAGCTCCTGGCTCCAAAGAGGCTGTAAACAAGTAGTTTCAGAGCAGATCCTTCCTTTCAGAAAACCCCGAAACCTGAACCAGTTTCTAGACTTACCAGTATCCATGAGCTCTGGGACTTCAACAGGGGGAACTGGGGTCCCTGGACGTTCTGTGTCCATAGCCTCAGAAGGAGGTGCTGGCTCTGGGGAAGAAGGTTTGGCTGTGCTCGGTTCTGTGCTCGTTTTCCCTTCAAATGGGCTTGGCTATTGTGAAAGAAAAAGAAGTTAATGAGCTGACAGGGAAGGCAAGGCAATTAGTCCAGGGTCCTTGGCAAGATCCCCTAACAGTTCCTATAAAGGAAGACTGTCTCTAACAGTACTCTGCCACCAGTCTACATCTGAGACACAACTCTTGTCCTCCCCGAGCATCCTAGCTGCTGGGCCCTTCCTTCACCTGTACCTTTTCTACCTGGTCACTGGCACCTACTGCACAGCACCCATACCTTGGCAGCTGTGGGTGACAGCACCTTCTTCTTCTTCTTAATTTTGATGCCTGGAACAGGGGCTGAATTGAGCGCATCCAGAAAGCCCAGGCCCTCCATAGCTACAAAAGAAAAGAGCATAAAATGGAATCATCAGACCTCCTTAATAATGCTATTCCTATAGACAAAATCTGGGCAGAAAATTGGCCAATAGAGACCCTGCCTCAACTTTGGACACAATAAGCTCAAGGTGACCAGGAAGCATATGTAGGAGGATTCACACAAGAAATCCTTGTCATTATTCTATCTTTCTTTTAAAGGCAGGCAAGCGTGGCTTTGGATAGGAATCAGAGCTCAGGTAAGTGACAAAGTCAGCCTCCATGAACGTGACGGCTGGGAGCGCACACACCAGTCACTGAACAGCACGCCTCCCTACTTCATCTCTAAAATCACTCCTAAGCAATCCTATCAAGGACTCCTAGGAAGGGAGTTCCAGGGGAGTAAACATTAAAGGACACCAAGAAACCAGATGAAAATGGAGGAAAACGCTTCATTTCCATGAAAACAGTTTGCTCTCAGTTCAAAGCACATCCCCCCACTTTAGACTCACGCTGTGGCGGGATGATCTTCACTTTGATCTCTTTGGTGGCATTGGGTGTTGTGTTGAGTGGCTTGTATTTCTTCTCTGCAGGGGGTGCAGCATCTCCTGGGGCGGCTGTGGAACTGTTAGAAAGGGACTGGTCAACAACACCTGACTTGCCCCCTCTTTTCCCCTCACGTCCACAGACCCAACCCATTCAAAAACCAAGAACATGGTCCATACCTCTGACGCTTGAGGGGGATGGGTTTAAGGTTGTACTTGTCAGAAACCACCACTGCACTGGCATTCTTCTTCACAGGCACCAAAGACGGGGTCTCCAGCTCTAGTCCTGGGGGAGAAGACATGGTGTTGGGGCCGGACTCACTCCACACTCTCCTGACTCTTCCTCCCTTAACCTTCATCAAGCCCTATAAACTCCCACAATGCTCCACCCACTCTCCAGATTTATCGTACCATTAAGTCCAACTCTTCCACCATAAGGCCCGGGCTGTGCACCTACCCACAGACACTCCAGAGGCCAGACGGCAGCCTTACCGGTAGAGCGGAACTTGGCGTGACTGGGCGCCGTGGTTCGGAGGGACTTGGGCTTCTCCCTCTTCTTCTCCGGGGCCTCCTCAGCCCGAGTCTCAGCCTTCACCTCAGTCAACGGTCGCTCAGGAGGGGTGGTTCGACTCTTTCCCTCTTCTTTCCGTTTCTTCTTATCTTTCTCTGTTGTGGAAAAACAGAGCAGAAAAGGATTTTATTTAGATAAAGAGAAAGACTGTCAGTCAGAGGTAAAAAGCAGGTTAGGGGCACGGAAGGCCACATCCCAGTGGGAAAGAAAGAAATACAAGGGATAAAGGGCCTAGC